GAATCCTGTCCAGTCCTCTCCTTAGGGCATTCACTGTGCTGCAGCCATGTCATATAAAGCAGTAGCTTCCGGTTCTGGAAAGGATTCTTGCAAACAGCTAAACAAAGCCAGTACATCTCAATCTCAGAAACAAAGTATGGCACCACAAAAATGCTAGTAACCTTCTTGTGACACACAAAAAGCCACCTTTATTATTGCAAAATGCTGCTCTGAAGGACTAACCAGAACCCAGATTTCGCCCATGTGAACAAAAAGGTTCACGCAAGAAGTACTTACTGAATTGATCCTCCTTGCACCATGTTTCTCAAATAGCATTAATGAAATACAAAGTGGGTCTGCTTCCAGATTGGACACATCCCCCCAGGTCCCAGGGAAGATCAGGGATCTCTTTCAGAGGCCTTGCGTTTCTGGGCTGGGCCTGACCCTATCACTCTCTGTGAGACTGAAGGCAGAGCAAAAGGTTGCCATTCCCCACCCGCGCCCCCATAAAGATATACGTCCACCCACCCTGTTCCAATAGCAAAAAAAAAAAAGACACACACAAGATCTGCATTTTATTCCGATTCAGAAGCAGGCGCAGGAAAGTGCTTGGGCTGAGAAGTGCAAAGACTCAAACATGTATGGGACAGCTGATGTCTGGCTCTCGGCCATCACTGTAGAGAAACTGCTCAGCCCCAGTCTAGAGCAAGACAACTGAAGGCTTCAAACCGTTCCATACACAAGTGCTGTTTGCTCCCGAATCTGCTCCAAGCATCATAACAATGAATCAGGACAAGCGAAGAGCCGCTAATGTGTTTTTAATTACCCAGAGACAAAGGATGATGTATCTGGGCTTTTGCTCAGTAACATTTGAATCTGTGCCAGCAGCAATAAATTAACAAGCAGCAGCAGCAGCAGCACATTCTTTGGCACAAACTGCTTAGAGTTCATCCAGTTTAAACGATCATGTATTTAATTTGACCAAAACCTCTGGAACAGGACTCTCCATTTTATGAATAATATCCATTCTGTTACAATTGCTTTTGGAAGACAGTACTGGGTGACAGTCATTGGCTAGTTGCCACATAATTAATAAGGAAGACCAGTATTTCAAAGGGAATTAAACTCTTCCCTTATGAAAGACTAATGACAGTAACAGACAACTGCAACATCAGACTTGGGTTCCCCAAATGTAGGTCTTACTGTGTAACCTGCAAACCCGTGTTCCACATCTTGGTGACTGTAAAGCTAAGATGAGTCAGTTATTCAAAGGAAATGGGAGGAATCAAAAGACTTCCATTAACTAACAACTATGAAACTTAAGTATTATGCAGAGGATGGGCTAACTGAGAGTTAGGCCTGTGACGCTTCTGCAGTGATGTATCAAGTTTTGGCACAGTTATTGCTTTGCTCACCTGCCTACAAAATCATTGAAGTGAATAATGAGGCACTAGAGTGTGATCTCAAGTGTGTAGAAATTTATGACACATGCACGAAGCAGCATTTATCTTTAAATGGATTAACAGTGCCAGGAGACAAGAGCCTTTTTGCACGAGCCAAAAGAAATCCTAAAATGGCCTGGCAACCCTCCCACTCTTGAACCAGTTGCCTCTGAGAAGCTAAGCAGAGCCTGGTACGCAAGGTTTGCCAGGGAATCCAAGCGCCGAGGGACCTGGGGCTAGCAATACCATGAATGGCGCTCTTTCCTGAAAGTCAGCATTGAACCAATGCTCTGTGAGGAAAGTGCAATTTCTAACAAGTCCGGCACTCCTTCACGTTGTATTTGGTCAGTTTAACACCTGCTTGCTTGCAAAAGGAAAAAACTTTTTCCAACTTACCCAAGTTATTCAGACTTTGCTTTAGACTCCGGTGGCGATTTCGTCCTGTTGCCTGGCAACAGCAATTGGCCCTGCTCTCATCTGCTAGAGGAGTTCTTCCCAGATGTAGCAATATTTGAACTAATGAGTACATAACATAGATTGCATTCGCTGGTCTTCCACCTGATGAACAGCCATTGTGGTGGATATTCTTCCCCAAGACCCATTTGTCTTATGTACTTTTCTTTACCAGCAGACATTCACTGACTCCCTAAAAAGCTAATTTAATAAACTGCTATACTCATGCCTTTGGTAACCCTTTCATAGACATTAGGGCTGGAAGGGACCTCGGAAGATCAAGTCCAGCCTGCTGCCCAAGGGGCGGGAAGTCAGCTGGGGTCATAGGATCCCAGCAAGATAAGCATCCAATTTATTCTTGAAGGTGTTCAATATAGGTGCTTGAACCACCTCCGGTGGCAGGCTGTTCCAGACCTTGGGGGCTCGGACAGTAAAGAAGTTCTTCCTTATGTCCAGCCTGAAACAGTCTTGCAGGAGTTTGTAACAGTTTGACCTCATCATCCCTTGGGGCACTCTGGTGAACAAACGTTCCCCCAGATCCTGGTGAACACCCCTGATAAGCTTATAGGTGGCCACCAGATCACCCCCGAGCCTGCGCTTTTCCAGGCTAAAGAGTCCCATAGCTCTCAGCCTCTCATCATAAAGGTCTGTTTTCCTGACCTCTGATCATGCCTGTGGCTCTCCTCTGGACTCTCTCAAGCTTCTCCATATCCTTTTTGAATTGTGGGGCCCAAAACTGGTCACAGTACTCCAGCTGCGGCCTCACCAAGGCCGAGTACAACGGGAGAATGACGTCCTGGGATTTGAGCCTATAAGGATGCTGCAGGTTTTTCCTCCCAAGGTGGAGAACTTCTCGTCCGCCCACTTGCTGAGCCTGTCCAGGTCAGCCTGGATCGCCCTCCTGTCCTCAGGTGCGGATGCTTTGCCCCAAAGTTTGGTGTCATTGGCAAACTTGGCCAGTCCGCTTCTGACTCCAATGTTCACATCATTAATGAAGATGTTGAACAGTATGGGTCCAAGGACAGAGCCTTGGGGGACCCCACTGGTCACAGGACACCATGACGATTGACTTCCACCAATTACTACCCTCCGGGTCTGACCACGGAGCCAATTTCCCAGCCAGCAGATCGTAGTGTGGCCAAGGCTGCAGTTAGCCAGCTTTACTAAGAGGTGATCATGGGACACCAGATCGAAGGCTTTTTTTGAAGTCAAGATATATGACATCAATCTCTTATCCCTTGTCCAGGTGAGTAGTTACCTTGTGGGACTGTCTCCTCCGTTCTTAATTGCAGGGCCACAGGAAGAGTGTTGTTCTGCTTCCCCAACTGCCCTGCCACTGGGGAAGATGCAGAGGAGAACTGTATTCGAATCTCTGCACTGGCCGACTGCGTCCAGTTAGGGTTGCCAACTCTGTTTGAACCAATTCCGCAACGCCAACATGCCTGTGTGCTTGCGTATATCAGTTATGAATTACGATGCGGAGATTGTCAGGGAGGCAAATGCACATCTCTATTACATTTTTTAAAAAACCCACTGTACTGTTGAATCTGATTTATACAGTATTTATTATTTATTTTAATGGATCCCTTATTGTTTATCTCCCAAGCAACTCTCAGCAGTGTACTGGAGATTGAGATCTAATTTCTGGAGACTCCAAGGCAATCCTGGAAGGTTGGCAACCTTGACTCCAAAGGAGGTTTGAATGCCCTGGATTTCCCTGGGCAGAGATGAGGGAGATGAAAAAAGAGCCAGAAGAGGAATTAAAATGTAAGATGTTTCAAGTAAGCAAGAAACCAAGCCAAGCGCCAACCACTTCCAACCAAGCAAAACTGCCTGCAGCTGGGCAGGAAGGCAACAAAGGTTTGGAAGTACCCTCTGATTCCCAAGGCCAGGAGAAAGTAAATCAGTTCATAGGTGGACTGGGAGAGACCACATACGAGTTGCGTGCCAGCATTTCAATAGGACATGCAGTTAAATTTGTGTCGCACTGGAAGTACATTGCTTTGCCTGCATTCACCTGGTGCACTGGGCTTCACTGAAGTAGTAAATTTAAGCCATTACTCAGCTATCCCAAATTGCTGAGACTATTACAAACAACAGGGTGAAAAATAATTTAAGTTATTAAAAAATATGGTTTGATGATCATGGCCCTTAGAGTAAACAAGCTGAAAAAAAAAAGAAAAAAAAAAAAAAGGACAAAAGACAATTAGATTACAAACTAAGGATAAGAGGGGACCAGTGGTTCACCGCAGCACAAATAGATTAGGTAATAAATCAGACAATTGGACCAGGGTAACAAAAATAGTAGGAGCAAGGCAGCCTGAAGACATGCATAAAATCAACAGTAATGAAAATATATAAAGTGGAAGAGGAGCCTACAGAGAAAATTAAAATAGAAGTTCATGAGTAGGGTAAAAGTTAAACAGTGCAGGATAAAGCACGTAACTCGGTAGCTGTGTCAGAGATGAAGGCACTGGCTTACAGGCAGAGCCTAATAGTTTCCCCATGTAAGCCACGCTTTCTTTTAGCAGCAAAGCAAACTAAAGAGAGATTGAGGCAGCAAAAATCAATGCTTCATTCCTCAGGTCTTATTCTAGGTTATGGAGGAGATGAGCAACAAGCACCTTTTAGAGACAGTAACTTAAAAAAAGAAATGAGGGGTTTTTTTGTTTGTTTGTTTTTGTTTCCAAGCAGTCATGTCATCTCTACGATGCTCTCCGGATTCCCAGCATCTAATCAATGGGGGCAGCATGGCGCACAAAATGTTGCTCCCTTGTGTCACTGCTCCCAAGCACACGATTAATGCAGTTAAACTATCCAAGCCGTGCGTGTTACCAGCAGCTGTCCATTTACTCTGAATCCAGAATCTGGCTATTTGAAGGACTCCCTTAGGTACTGCTATCCACAAAGATTTTCTCTATAAAATTACCTTTCTTACAAGTGTTTAGAGGCTTCATTTCTCAGGATATGGGCAAATGAACCCACTATACAGAGTTAAGGGGAAGACAAAGACAGCTTATCCTGGGGCAGCTCAGCTTTCACTTACTGCAGCATAGCAGAAGACATATGAAGTCATCACAGAAGAGCTGATGCATGGCAACTCCCTACCACCCTTTTTACCTTACAGTCCATCTGCCTGTATCCTCTGGTTGTAGTCATGTTGCAATTGTGCTGGTTCAGGGAACATGCAGGAAATTGGATTTGTTTTTTTGATATCTTTTTCCTGAAATAAACTAGATAGTTGAGAGAGATGGTTGATGAGATTTTGGGCACAAAGTTAATGGTCTTAAGCAGAAAGAGATACAGCCTAAGCTAAATATAAAAGTTAGACCAATTACCTTTAAAGTTCACTATGCAAGTGAAACTGGCTACTTTGCAGAAGGATGTGCCACTGTCCAGATCTATTTGGGGATGGGAGAGATACTACAAAAACTCCGGACTACAGGTAAATTTATCTCATGTAAGCAGCTTCTTGAGGCACCTGCTAAAATTGTAGCATTTAAAAAGCACTTAGCAGTTTAAAAAAAAAGGACTGACAAATAATAGCGTTTTAAAAAACAGCAAAAGGGCCAATTTGATTTCTCTGCTGTAACTGCAGTGATGGTTATTGAATTGCAAAGGCATGAATTAGACACAACTTCACTGAAAGAGTAACCCTATATTTTTTAAGTAAATTTTGTGCTGTTTAAAAAGTTCCTGCCAGTCCTGCAAGCTGAAGTCATGTCTCCCCAAAGCAGCTACAAGCCAAGACAATTTTCCCCTCAGTGCCCTTTCACCTTTGTTCATCACTTGCATTTCCAGACTACAGTAATTTTTATCTGTAGCTGCACTCGGCTTTGTAAGTAGGGTACAGATGGCAGTACAACCTTCATGGCCCACTCTGAGACTGGCTTCTCTGATGTGCTCCTGGAGATTGGTGTGTGCCAATAAAAGCTGCAGATAATTTGTGAAATTGTGCTGTAGCAAGATAAAGCCAGAACAGGAGTGGGAGCCCCCTAGGTTTTAAGCTGTTTTCACTGCAGCTTAGTTCTTGCTTCCTGGGTGATGAAGACATAGTTCATCAACCAGAAAGAAACAGCCATTCTGCTAATGCAAGAACTCAGACCTGTCAGCTATAGCCCTTGGGTCCTCACTATCTTTTACATCAATGCCAGTCAAAGCCCCCCTCAGCAAGGGACCTTTCTTCTATGTCATATTTCATGCAAATCTGTTCTACCTCAAGAGCAGTGCTGACCATTTCTGTAATGATTTCACTTGCAGTTAATTGTCTGCAGACCAATTTCTGCCACTTAGTGACTTAGCAGTGACTTGTGTTATCTAAAGATGAGAAGTTCTGGCCGATTGATTCAAGAAGCTCATGTTTTGCCTTAAGCAAAACTTGCACAAAACTGGAATACAACAGAGTAAGAACTAAATCTATTGCACACATGAATTTTGGTGGATGAGGTTTATTTCCATATCCAGAAGTTCTGGAAACAATGATAATGTTGCTAATCCTTTCTTCATTTATCATGGCACTGCCTGGAAACAATTTATCTCAGGCTCCGCACTTCTTGCTGACTGGACAATGGAAACACAAATAAGACTGTTTAAAATTTTGCTCTCCAAAAATCGCAGCTGTTTGAATCCAGGCTGCATTGTATGATAGCCAGGAGAGGAGATAACTGTATTCATCAAGCACTGAAAAACACACACAAACAAACTAACAATAAGGTGTTCCCATATTACAAATTTTCTGAACCGCAGTTTTTTGCACCACAACTTACTCTAAACCTCCTCTATCCTTACTCCATTTATGTTGGTAGCAAAGAGCAAGACAGCAAGTTTAAGCATTCCATCTCCACCCTTAAAAGTTTGTGTGGCTCAGCCTACTCTGAACCTCTGGCAGTTCACTTCCCTCAATCTCCCTGCATCTTTTCTACTCATCTTACTGCCTCAATCCATCACATTGTCTACTTTATATCTGCCTCCCTAGCACGCATCTCCATCTAGGAGAAGCCCCACATTTTTAAGCTGTCCCAATGAACATGCTGAAAAACAGATTAAAAAAAAAAAAAAAAAAAAGGCTTCTACAACAGTGCTCTCATTTTCTTGCTCAATAGTCTCATCAGTTTATTTAGATGGAAAACTCCCTTTGCATCAAACTCCATTTTTCATTTTTTTCCCCCCCCAGTGTTGGGCTCACTGTTTGCACTTTATAGTTTGCTGGTTAGTTCACCCAAGTGCCACTGTCCTCTACTGGATGGAATAATAACTTACTAATTTTTCATAGCCTCTAGATTGCCAAGAGCTAAAGATTTTCCTTTAACGCATATTTAGTCACATAGGAAAGCTAGTTACCTTTGTGCTATAAGTTGCTGTAACTTTTCAGGCAGGCTCTGCCCATGCTCTTGGAACTGTTCTATTTCTGCTGCCATCATGAAAGTCCAAGAGACAGAAGCACACAGCATGGAAGCATCTAGACAGTGAAAGATTTAATTAAACTATTAGTACATCTCCTATGGGAGAGGAACAGATGCCTACTCCTTCAATCAGTGGCTCAAAAAACTGGGGTGGGATGGAAGAGAAGCTGGAGAAAAGGAACACTGGCACCAAACAAAGTAATGATTTTCAAATCCAAGGTATTACTTCTGAAAACACCGCCTTCAGAAGAGAATCCAGGCAGGCAATAAAAGGTAATCCCTCTAAATACTGTGTAGGAACAGTGGTTTTTCCCCCCCAAGTGCCCTCCCATGATTTGTTTGAAGACGTTCATTGTAATTGCTAACATTTATGCAGCACCTTTCACCAGAAGTATTCAGTGTGCTTTATGATCTTAATACTTTGCTCTTAGACACTGCTCTTAAGCTGCAGATGTCATAGCACTTCATAGAGCAATGCAAATATTTTTCCCATTTTACAGCTTGGGTAATGGGCAGAAAGATTAAATAATGTATCCAAAATAATACAGCAGATCAGTGCCAGAGCTAGAAACAAAAACCAAATTCTTATAATCCCCAGTTCCCTGGACCTAGATTCTTGCCATAAGAGAGGTAACACATTCATTTTGCAAGTGGGTAAACTGAGGAACACTACCTTACTCAAGGCTGCAGTGAGGCATTAGCTGATCCAGGAGCAGAACCAGAAAATTTAGCTCCTAATCTCTTCTTGTTACAAGCATCCTTCTATTCTGTAATCAAAACAGGAGAATTGAAAACCAATGTTGGCTGCAGCTCCTTTCCCTGATAGTTTCATTTGTAGTGCATAAAAATCTTCTCACCCTGAAACATGGTTTTCCCCATATGAAAATGATCTCAATTTACTATTCTTGCCTATCCAAAAAGTCATTTTTCAAATGTTCATTCTCATCTATTGTGAAATTCCACTCAATTTTCTTCCTTCATAAAAACAGTTTTGCCCTGGAGTTGCTCCTCACCTTTCAGACCGTCAAGTCAAATGTTAATCCCTTGCTCATGCTGCTTCCCATCAGCCATTATTAGAAGTTCTTCTGCAGCTGATGTTCCTTTTTACTGACTTCGGAGTGTTCATGTGAATGTGCTGCTAATGAAACGAACTCCCCAATTAGGAATAATATAATAAAAAAAGGACAAGCCTTCACACTAATGGACACTTTCATGTGAATTCATCTAGTTGATGAATGTGCCAGTTGGTAGATAGGCAGACAAGGTTCCTTGGGTGAATCTGATATCTTTTATTAGACCAACCCAAATGGTTGGAGAATAGTTATTAAGCAAGCTTTCGGGTTCAAAAACCCTTCGTCAGGCTAAGGAAGTTTCAGCAGTCGGTGTGTGCTCTTCCTGGATGGAATGAAAAGTAAAGAAGCCAGCGGCTGGGCTGGGGAGTCAGTTGTCAGGCAGGTTATAATGTGTCATAAATCCAATATTCAGTCTATGATTTTTAGTATCCAGGAGGTTGATGAAATGGAGTTCATAGGCTCGTCTCTGGGAAGTGTCGTGCAAGTTTCCTTTGAGGATCAGTTGGTAGATGGCTATTCACCAGTTATGTTTTTCAAGAGATATAACAACTGATGGGCATAGATGTGTACTCATATATTATGGGCAAAGAGGAAGTTGAGGCTGGATAGTAGGAAAAACCTCTCACTAGTGGTGAAGTACTGGAACAGGTTACCCAGAGAGGTGGTGAAATCTCTATCCTTGCGGGGGTTTAAGATCCAGCTAGATAAAACCTTGGCTGGGGTGATCTAGTTAGGGCTGGTCCTGCTTGAGCAAAGGGTTGGACTAGATGATCTCCTGAGGTCCCTTCCAACCCTCATTTTCTATGCTATGTGCCTCAGGGCTGAGAAAACCATCCAAATGGTGGAAGAATGTGCTGCAAGGATCTCAATACTTTGAAATCTTATGACAACAACAGGAGACAGAAAAACAGGAGCAGCAAAAACAGCATGTTGGGGCCCTGGACGAAGAACCTAGAGCCTGCCCCATGAAAATACATGCACAAGCTGCAACAGTGCCTGTCAATCCCGGGTAGGCCTTGTCATCAGCCAACTTCAGACCCACAGGTAAGACCATCATAAAAACACACCACCCTCAACTGCAAGGGATTGCTGCTGCTGAAAATCATCCATTCATGGATTCCATTGAATCTTCCCATTTCAAGTCTCTGTTTTTCCATGTTCCAAACTAATCATTTGGGCTAAGACTATTTATGCAGGTTGGCTGCTTGTGTTTAAAAAAAAAAAATCCAACCAAAAATAACTCAGCCATTTCTGAGAAGAAATCTAGAGAATAAATGTTAAAACTCCTGCTGGCCTTCCATGAGAAGCTGTACTATGTTGTGGAGCAGACAGGGCTTGACTTTTTGTCTAAGAGCCTCTTGTTAGGAGGGTGTCCTTGTTCTCCTTGTGAAAAAACTCACCCATTTTATCCAAGGGAAAAGCTTGGGGGGGGGGGGGGGCGCAGAAATCAGTTTGCAAATGCTCAGTGAAGACTTACTACATTTTAGGACAAGGGCGGGCAATGATTTCAAGCAGAGGACTGCTTACTGAGTTTTGGCAAGCCATTGAAGGCCACATGATAGGCAGCCAGGGGCAGATAAGTATTAATTTTCTAAATTTTAGGGGCCCTGCAGGCTGGATAGAATGGCCTGGCGGGCCGCATCCACCTCGCAGGCTGCATTTTGCCCACCCCATTTTAGCATCTAACAGTCTTCAGAAAATTTCCATGGGCATTGCGCGTGCTCCAGATTAGAACTGCAGCAGAGAAACTGGAGTTTCCTTGCAACAGAAGCTGTAACCTACATGTAGGATCATAGGAAAGTAGGGCTGGAAGGAACCGCACAAGGGCATCTAGTCCAGCCCCCTGCTCAAGGCAGTCTCATCCCTGACTAAACCATCCCAGGCAAGTGTCTAATCTGCTTCTGAATGTGCCCAAGCATGGAGAGTCCACAACTTCTCTAGGCAGCCTGTTCCAATGCCTGACCACTCTTAAATGAAGAAAATTACTTCTGATCCCCAGCCGAGATTTCCCCTGCTGCAGCTTGAGGCCATTGCTCCTAGTCCTATCCCCTACAGCCACAGAAAAAAAGCCCATCTCTATCCTGTCTACAATCACCCTTCAGGTATTTGAAGTGTGTTATCAAATCTCTCCCCTTTGCCTTCTCTTCTCCAGACAAAATAATGCTAGTTCTTTCAGCCGTTTCTTATAAGTCTTACATCCGAGGCCCCTGATCAATGTTGCTGCCCTGCACTGGACTCTTTCTAAACTGTCCACATGTTTCTTGGAGTGAGGGGTCCAAAACTGGACACAGCACTCCAGTTGAGGCCTCTCCGGTGCTCGATCGTGTGGAAGAGTCACTTCCCTTGATTTCCAAATGACACTCCTGTTAATACAACCCACAATGCTGTTGGCTTTTGTTGCGTAAAGAGCACACTGCTGGCTCATATTCATCTTATGGTCCACTGTACCCCTGAGGTCTTTCTCTGCAGTACTGCAACCAAGCCAGTCATTCCCCAGGCTGCATTTGTGTATGCAGTTATTCTGTACCAAGTGCAGGACTTTGTTCTTGTCCTTGTTGTAGCTTGTCTGGTTGATTGTGAGCCATTTCTCCAGTCTATAGCCAGGTCATTCTAGACCCTAGCCCTGCAGAGCGTCTGCAACCGCAACTCCACACACAAGCAGTTTTACATCTATGCACAGATGCATGCGGGATTTTTTTTTTTTTAAAGCAAAATGCATATAATTTATATAAATGTGCACATGCACACAGACAGGAATGCACACACACCAGGAAAGCAATTCATTTTTAGTGCAAGCCACTCATTGTCATTTGTGATTTAAATGAAATGCTCTTTATCAATATTCACCGCTGAGTGTTCAAGCCCGCAAACTGAAAAAACCCAGATGTAAGCATTGCAGCACGGAGCCCCACACGTAGGAAACAACTCTGCCACTATCACTTTTATATTAAAGAACAAAGTGATCATCATTCTCTGAGGTTCCCAGCTGGTTGTTGGACAACAATGAGAAATGGGAACACAATCAGCATCTCTAGGGGAAAAACCCCAACTGGCCTTCATGTGTTTAGGCACCTTGTTTTAAGTAGAGACACTTGAATGATTTCAGCCTAGTGAAAAGTGCCATGGTTTTGCATGCATCCAAAGCAAATAAATACTGCTTCTCTCATTGAAATATCTTATTCTTCTGCTTATTTAGATTTGTTCCATCTTTTATCCCTAACAATTTCGTTTGCATTTTTCTGTTTTCTTCTTTGTTGTTTTAAAACCATGCTCTTTGCTTTGTGTAACGGTCTCATTTTACCCAGTACTGATTGTGAGTTTTTACACGTTGCTTCATTTCTCCTCCTCATTCTGAGCCCTGTTTTTTCCCCTCTTTTGAGGTTACTGGTATTGGCATTGCAGTAAGGCACTGAGCTAACACCCCTGCTCTTGTGCAAAATGTCGTGGCATTTTTATTGACTACAGAGGATCAGAACCTCATTTATGTCATATGAAAGTCAGACTCCTTGGAGCAAAACACCCAGGTAATGAAAGTCAGGGGCATTTGTGCAAGAGTGTATCATGTACTGAGTCATAAAAATATCTCCTTTGCATTTTCCCTGAGACACCATGGATGTCAGCATGAGTAAATAGAAGTATATATATTCAGTTGCAGGAAAAAAAGCACTTGACAAAGATAAATGGATCCAAACTGATTTTATAGCCATCTCTAGGGATTTAGTCATCTCTCTTATGGACAAATAACTTCAAAAAGAGAACCTGAGGAAATGATGTGCTATCTGAATGCACCTGTGTGCGTCACTGAATTATGATGGCCTTGTCAATGTGATTAAGACCAGATGCAGCTGCACAGTGCTCCACACATATTGGCGCTACATCTTACGAGCGTCATAGAGATTCACAGATTTTTGCACTGGTCATGGCTATTCACACCCTGGACAAGTAGCCATGGGTAAATATTCGAGCCCTAGCATGCTAATATTTGATATATCTGACAGAATGAGGTATGATTGTACAGTTTAAAAATCCAATACTATGTAAAGCAGCCAGAGCTCTCAGATAGCAGGGCTACCTCCTGGAAAAGCTGGCAAAAGGCAACCCAAGCTACCAGAAGAGCACCCTTACAGTTCCATTCCCTGCTCTCTGCAAGTGAACTCATAGCATCTGATGATTAAGCAGGCTGCAGCCGATGAAAGCTCCTGCCTCCCTGAATAAGTCAGACTGCCCAGTTCCCTTCTCCTTCAGGCACGTTCCTCCTCCCACAACTGTTATGCAGGAGAGGAAGTCTTTCATGCCACACTAATTCAGATTCCTACATCTCTTAGCAGAGCAGAGACAGCAGCTCCCACATCTAATTGATTTTGCATACCCTTTTCTCTGAGCCAGGACTGAACCTATTTCCTGGCCGAATGTTATTAGACTAGAAAAGGCAATGTCTTTCAGGGAGTGCACAAGAACCTCTGGTCATCGGTGGTTACGAACGACCCACAGATTGCTTTTTGCAGTAATCTGTGTGTTAAGTGTAGTCTCAGTTAAACTTCAAATTAATTATACTACCGCTAAGTATATTTCCTTTTGCTATTTCAGTCTAGTAGGACACCGTCTTTTTGGCTTCGGCACCCATTTTCCACATGAGAGACAAAGTCTGCATCTGTCGATTGCTTTGGAAGCTTGTACACTGAAAGGCACTATACATAAGTCTAATAAGACTCAGCACTCGCATAGCACTCTCCATCTTTCATTTACTCTTACAACACCCTTGTGATGAGGTGAGAGAGGCAAAAGCTGATTCTCGGTTAGAGCTAGTAGCTGTGCTTTCAACACACCCTCTGCTGCCACCACCCCATACATATAGTGCAATAAGGAACCCCACTTTGCTGAAGAGCTCAGGAGCAGTCCAAATTGGGCAGAGGACCCCAGATCTTTTCCCAAGGGGTGGGCTTTGTTTCTGACTTGTTACAAGAATCAACAAGTGGCTGCAGATATGGGGCTGCAATGCAAACTTTCTGTCCAGACTCAGCTTTTTGCTCCCTTTAAGTGCTGCATTTAAGCCCTACCTTTCTTGGCAAGTGTTGGCCAACAGCAAGGAGGCCTGAAGTTTTGCTCACTTTATAATCCAATATTAAGATGACTCTTTCTCCCTCTGGCACCCCCACCAACCCCACCTCCATTCTCATCTGGCTGGGTCTAGACTTGAGAGAAGCATAGAAATAATGAAGCTCAGCTTATCAACCAGTAACACTCTCTCACAATTCCCACTCCCTGAGCTGGGACTTGCCTACATGATCTTATAAGGTCCCTGTAACAGGTTGCCCTCCCAAGCAGCATTTTTCTCTTGTTTTGCCTATGAGGGGCACCCCTGAAGTCCCTTAAAGTTTCACTTTTTCCTCATTCGTCTTGTACCTTCCCAAAGTCCCTTAAAGTTTCACTTTTTCCTCATTCTTCTTGTCCCTTCCCCCCTTCACTCTCCTGCCACGTCTTGATGTAAATATTATTTAGATGTTCTTACAAGCAGGAGACTGCCTATTGTAATTCTATGTTGGGATTCTCAGCCACCACGGGCCTTGTTCCCCATTTTTCTCTGGCTAGGCCTACCAGTTTAAACCCACCAGATAGGGTTCAACTCCAAGGCTCTAGCTCCTTAATCTTGGGGCTCGTGGCCCTCCTTTTACTTCCAATATGGAGCCCAGGCTCTCTGGCCCAGAGGCTGATCCACTGGGCATGGAGCCACTGGGCCGTAAGTTCAAGGCTGGGCAGGGGCCCTAAACTCCCATGTTCCAGGGCACCCTTTCTTTTAACTCAGGCTGCTAGCCAACATTCCCCCACTGGGGCCCAGCTTAAGTCCTGCCCCCAGCTCTGAGCAGCTCGCCCCATACACCTGCACTAGTGGTGCACTAGGCCCCTTTGGCCTTTTCTGACTGCACCCAAGGCGCTAATGAGGCTCCTCCTCCCCTATAGCCTCATCCACAAACCACCAGTATCAATCAACAAATATATGTAAGCAGTAAATCCATGGGTTATAACCACAAAAAACCCAGAAATTAAAGAAGGCAGCATGCCAGCTTACATTTCTTCGTGGCTTGGTGCTTCTGCTTCCCCGCTGTCTGTGACGCTCCTCTCTGTGGCACTGCCGCCGCTTCTCTGAGAGTCATCAGGAGTTCCCTTCTCACAGCAGCTGGACTAGGAGCTGAGCCTCACTGTGGAGCTCTCATGCACAACCTCCTTCCCCTTTGGCCACTGCCTCTAACTGCTGCTAAGCCCTGGGTTTTTATAGTTCCGGCCTGCCCCCTTCCAGTCACCTGACTAGCCAGCCAGGCTCAGCTTTTAACCCCTACTCTGCTAGCAGGCTGTGCCCAGAAAGTTCTGGTCTTAAAGGGACTGGCTGGCTTTCTGGTAACAGGGTTAGGGTTCCCTGTTACAGTCCCTTCCAGCCCCTAACATTCATGAATCTATGAATCAGGGAAGCTCTGCGTTTACACAGTGGCCTCAGCCTTCATTTCCTATTAGATCCTGAGTTAGACCAATCTAAATGTGGTGAGATAAGAACATTAGAGCCACTTTAATGATCCAGACACACAAGAATCCAATAAAAGGAAATGGGGGGAAAAATTCCCTCTGGTAAAATGTACCCAACATCTTATGGAAGAACAAAATACCACATGCTCATGCTGGCAGGCTGAAATGCCAGCTTGACAATTAGACGCTCAAGGCACCATGTTGCCTTTCTTTGAGGTGGGTCTCTGAGGTCCCTCCAGCCCATTGGCTGGCTGAGTGAAAACAGAAGTGGAGTCATTTAATCACATACCTCTGGGCTGCAGAACTGTTCTCCAGAGCCAGCCTGCTTTATGATCTCTCACAGCTCCTGTGCAGGGAGAAAGGGAAGGAGGCCAAGGAAATGCCCACTCAGGCCAACGATCCATCCAGACTTGTATCCTGCCTCTGCCAGGACTCAGGATCCACCATTTCCTATGGTGTGCCTGACCGATTAGGCCATCTTACACCTTACACTCTTCCTCATCTTAGCAGGAGATTAAGTTATGCTCTTACATATGATTTTACTCCCTTTATCCTGATTTTTAACAACCCTTAGCTGATGGGAGTGAGGTTTAGAGACTGGAAGTCTCAAGGCCAGAACAGACCTAGTCTGACCTCCTGTCTAACACAGGGCAGCAGAGTCCACCAGGATTTTGTGCAACACGCCTAGAAGTTCTGCTTTTGCTAAAACAGCTCATTAAAAAATAGTCCTGATTTACAGAAATCTATTTATGGTGAATCTTCCACATCCCTCCTGAAGCTATTTCAGTGGTTAATGATCTTCCCTGCTGAAAACAGGCTTCTTGTTTCTTAGCAGATTATGTGAAGTTTCATGTTTTAGACACTGATCAGGTTCTTTCTTTTGTTTTTTCTTCTAAATTAAACAGCCTAGTGATTGCAGTAGGAGACTCTGGCTATATCTAGGACCCCACCCAGTGCCTTTCAGAGAGACCTCAGGGCTTTTGACAAAAATGATAGCAACACAGGTCCTCTGAGCAATAAATCAACAATAAAAAACAATAACAGAAGTTTTAATTCAGGAACACTGAATTAACATTAATGCTATGCTTCTCTGCTCACTCCTTCTTACCCTCTGATCTCACAGCAAAATATTGCTAATTAAACTGCAACTGATTTTTAGGGTAAGGTCTTCATACTTCTCTGAAAGGTAACAATCACATTCTTGCTGTTTTGTAATGAAGCCTTGGGCTCTGACAACCAAAGTTCACATCTCTAAAGAGGTATAAACATTCTGCTACCTTACAGAAGGACTAGACTTTCCCCTAAAGTTTGTAAAATGCTTCAGACCCTGAAAAAGGCATTCAAAATATGCAAAATACTACCATTTATTAACAAGGCAAAGATTTTGGTGTGTGATACCTATTGGACCAACTGTGTGGTTGTGATGAAGTTAGGCAACATTTTGAATACACAAAAATCCTGGCATCTCATGCAATTCCAGGACTGTCATGGCTTGGCGACAACATTACTTCACCACTAACAATACTATTTTTTGCTCATTTTGATGTACTCTAAAAAACTTAACTATCAAAATGGCATTATGGGTTTTAACTGTGTTTGACTGAAGAGCAGCATGCTTGATTTTTAGAGAAATAATCTTTATACTTAACTGTTGTCATGGTGTACCCAAGCTGAGATCCGAAAGCCAAACTGGCATATTTCCCACGTTGCATCCATCTCAGAACTAATAAAGATTGTCTAGACACAACCCTGTAATTATTACGTGTGTTCACACCTTCTGTGTGGTGATGAGCCATAACCCAGAAAGGAATTCCACTTATACTCCCATAGCTGCATGGGCCCCACTAGGCTATCAGAAGTAAACACTTATTACTGTTGTGGGACTGGTAGTGTGCAGGAAGCAAATCTGCTGAGTAACAAGAGTGCTGTTTGCCTTTATTTGCTGACCATCCACACGTTTTAACATGGGAACTGGGAAATGCAAGAAAGAAATACGCTGCCAGCCTGTAGAACATTAAGCTGTAATACAGTCCCATAATGGAATCACAGGCTCTCTGCACCAAATGACGCAGTATGCAGCAACTGGGCCTTCAAGATTAATTCAGTAAATACTGTAGACTTGCACGTGACCGCCAGTGCATTCCCCCAGCACACAGGAAAAGCCAATAACTGTGTCAGATCAAGGCTGCTCTTACTTTACAATAGCTGCCAAAGGACTCTTTGTTCTCAGGTGGGGTCCAGGCTCTCACTGTTCACCCAGTTCCTGTCTTTCTTTTTCTGTTTTCCTTACTTCTACTTCTTTTTAGTACCATGCTCAAAAGACTGGCCGGGGCAAAGCCCTGGAGGCTTGCTTTTTATGGATGAAAAGCTTTCAGTGTGCATACAAACTTAGCCTTGGTGTTCACTTCTCTTCCTCCAAACTTCTGCAAGCCGCCACTAAAAGGAACACTCCCTCATGGCTAGTATGATACCTAATAGGGCTATGCGAGGCTTTGGACAGAGCTTTGGATCCGGAGAAGCTTTGGATGCTTCGGGGTCCAAAGCATCATGTCTGGGTGGAAGCGCTGGCCTCGTTCGGCTCCCCGAAGCGCTTCGGAGCCGCCTCGGAGATTCGGCTATACGGTATAATAGGGAAACAATAAAATATCTATAACTTTGTTTTTTTGTCCAATTTAGATGAAACTTGCAGGAATGGTAGCCTCTGCTGAGAGCATGAAGCCTGCCAAGTTTCAAGAAGATTGGTGTAGGGGTTTGGGGGGAACTGCACCGCAAATTATTGAAAGCAAAACTCCAGTCACGTCTATGTGTTACAGCACAGCGGGGTCACAACTGCAGGGGTGGTAGCTCTTGCTGAGTTTGGGGGAAACTGCCCCTCAAGCTGTGGACAAGCAAAACTGCCATGGGTGACACTGTGTGTGTTAAGGTGCAGCGGGGTGACAGCTGCAGAGATGGTGGCCCCTGCTGTGGCCACAACATCTGCCAGATGTCAAGGAGACCGGTGCAGGGGGGGTCTGGGGCCCTGTACCCCTAGCTGCTGACAGGCAAAGCTCATGTCGTGGGTGCTTCTGGGACTGACTGTGTCTGTCTTGGGACTGGGAGACACTACTGCAGAACTGGCTGCTAAGCTACTGTGTCTCCAGTTACCAATCAATCATGATTCACTCAGGGACCAGCTCAATACACAGTACCTAGCTAATGTAGCCAGTTAATTACCATCAATTAGCACCTACAAAACCAGACTAAGGAGAGGAAAGAATCAGTACAGACAATCAACTGCCCCAAGACAGTCAGTCCCACAAGCACCCAGGGCACGAATTTTTCCTGTCAGCAGTTAGGGGTGCCGGGCCCCAGAACCCCCCTGCACCGATCCCCTCGACAGCTGGCAGGCGTCGTGGCCTCAGCAGGGGCCACCACCCCTGCAGCTTTCACCCCGCTGTGCCTTAACACACACAGGGTCACCCATGACCCTGTTAAAGGGACTTAACGGTGGGGATCTTCTACAGACCACCCAACCAAGGAGAAGATCGAGACCAGGAATTCTTAAGTCAGCTCACAGAGATAGTTAGGTCCAAGGATGTGGTCATCATGGGTGACCTAAACTTGCCAGACATCTGCTGGGAGGAGCAGACAGCCAGGTCTGACCACGCACGCAGGTTCTTAACTGACATACAGGACCTCCATCTAACCCAAGAGGTACACAGCCCCGCCAGAGGAGACGCCTTGTTGGATTTGGTCCTGGCCATGGGTGATGACCTGGTACAGGGTCTGCGGGTCCTTGCCCACCTGGACAATAGCAATCATCGTCTGCTGGAATTCACCATCCAGCGCAAGGTGGTGAAAGCCTCCAGCAAGGCAGCATCCCTCGACTTTAGGAGGGCGGACTTTAACGAGGTGAGAAAACTAGTGGGGGAAGCACTGAGGTCCCAGAGCTGGAGGGAGTTGAGTGTTCAGGAGGAGTGGTCGCTCCTTAAGGAGACGATCCTCTAAGCTCAAAGGGAAGTAATCCCTACATGAATCAAAGGGGGCAAGAGGGTGCAAAGGCCCCCATGGCTCACCAAAAGCATCCAGGAATGTCTCCAAACAAAAAAGGAGGCGTACACCCGTTGAAAGGGAGGGGCCATCACAAGAGAGGACTAGATCATGGTAGCTCGGGAATGTAGGGGAACGGTCAGGAAGGCCGAGGTGGAAATGGAGCTGGGACAACAAGAAGTCCTTTTTCAAATACATAGGGGGGCAAAAGAAGGTGCCAAGTTACATGGGGCCTCTGCAGGACACGCTAGGAAATCAGGTCATCTCACCTGACAGTGAAGCTGACATATTCAACTATTTCTTTGACTCTGTATTTCTGAGGAGGGACCCGGATATCTCCCCCACTG